CCCACCCAACCCCATCTGCTGCCTGTGTTCTCTCTGTGCCTATTCTAGTCTGCTCCACTCAGCCCTGTTCTATCCTGGCCCACCCACTCACCCAGCCCCACCTGGCCCAGCCCACTCTGCCCCTGTCCCTTCCCTCTGATAGAGGGACACCATGCCCCAGGCCACAGGTTCAGGTTGAGTGTTGACTCTGTGCCCCATGGCTGTGGCTGTCACTGCTCACAAGTGGATAGAGCATTAGTCCTGTCAGTGCCCCCACTCCGAAACCACCTCCATGACAGCCAGCGGGTCATTCCTCCCCTTCCTAGCTCTGACAGCTCCCCTCAGGGGCTTGTATAGAAGTCCTGCCTAGCAGACTTTTCACCTTCTCTAGGTCCTGTCAATACACCCCCACTTTCCTCCTGTGGGAGAGTCCTGGTGGGACATGTCAACCCTGGGCTCTAGCCAGCCCTCAAGGCTGGCAATCTCTATTCACAGGCCTGGTGTCCTTTCTCTGACATCTCACATGGTTTCAGTGGGCCTAGAGCTAGCTCTGCTGTCAAGGAAGATCCCCCCTCCCTTTCCTCTCTGCCACTCAGAAGGCGCACACAGAGAACAGGGGTTGCCCTGCTGCCCTCGGAGCCTCTCATCACATGCCTTCCTCTGCTCTTGCGATGCCCAGCCTGACATGCCACAGCTTAGTGTGGCTGCAGGCAGGGACGGGCATGTGCTGTCTCTTCTGCCCCCTCTTCCATGGAGAGAAGGGAAGGCCTTGAATCTCAGTGGAGTGGTGAGTTCTAAGATTTGAGCTTGGTCACAGAGGAAGCAGCCAGCTGGCTTCTGAAGCTAGCTGTGGTTGAAGGCCAGCCACATGGAACCAGAACTGGCCTGGGCAAACAGCACCCTATGTGGTCCAGCCTGTCTCTGGGAGCTGTGAGGCTATGGGTAAAGGGCCATATTACTAGTGTCAATTGTGCACACATCTTCCTGGGGACATGTGGGAAGGCAGAGACAAAGGTCAGAGAAGTAGTTCTGAGTCCTCTGTGTCAAAGAACTCATTTTTAAAGCAAACCATGTGTGCCCGGCATAGATTTAACAAGGTGAACTGGGGTGGCATTGCACAACGCTGCCTTCATGGGGACTTCACCCAGTAACACTCCCATGTTTATAATGCCCAAGCATTTATGGAGAGATCTGTGCTTAGATTGGAAACCAGTACAATCCTATTAATAACTTATGGGCTATAAATACATTTCTGTTAGCTTCACAGACCATGAGAACAGCTTCATGGACTTTCACCAAGTGTGCTGGGCAACTCTGCAACTGTCTAAGCTGCTGTGAGTCCCGGGCAGGATCAGACATGGGCACACGGGGTGGGGACTGTGAGTCTGTATGGGCACAGGTAGGACCCAGCAGGCTGGTGTGGCCCCCAGCTTGCTCTGGACCACTGTCCAGGTGACCAGCTGTGCTGCATGGCGGGGGATGATGTCACATACTTTCCGCTGTCTTCTCCATTGTCAACATTTGTGGGCCAACACCTGCTCAGAGGGAGCTCAGTTCATACCACCTGAACTTCCAGAGCTGATCAAAGGTTTCCAGCAGATGTTTCACACCTAAGATGTATCTTAGGTGATTTGTTTTTGTGCCAAAAATTAGCCAGGCTTTTCAAAATGTAATATACAGACAGAAGGGAATACTACTCAACCTTCAAAAAGAAAGAACTGTGACAGGGAGAGAAGACAAGCTTCTAGTTTTCAGCCATGACTTGGTCACCTCTACTGGCAAGCACATGGCCAGTTTATACTTTCTTTTTGGGTAGATGAGGCCACTGGCTTCAGAATTCAAATCGATTTGATGGGGCCCAGGTCTGGAATGAATTAACCCCAGAGAACTGACATGGTTGAACATGTTAAGTAACAGAGGTAGAGCAACCAAGTGTGGGGAAGATAGGCCTTGGCTGCACATGCCTGCTCCTCAGCCTGCTGTGAGGAGAGCCCTTCAGATGTCTTCAGAGAATGGAGACTGTCCTTCCAGGATTGTGAAAATAAAATGAGACTATGCATGAGGCAGGGTCTGGCTCTTGGTTCCTTTATTTTTTCCTGAGAAGACTGGTGAGTAGAAGATTCTTAGTGAAAAGCTGTCTTAGGAAGGAAGGTCAAAAGCACTGTGGTGCCCGGGGGCAGTGCGGCATGAAAGAACAGTTGTGAATACTACCACGTGGTCTTGGGGCCCAGTCCTGAAGACACTACCTTAGATAAAGTAACTGACAACTGGCAATGTACTGTGTCAAGTCTCCTAGCCTGTCCCTGGCACCCATAGGGCACAGGGAAGTCACTTGAATCCTTATCAAAACAGCCTTTAAACCCAAACCTCAGTGCCAGCCTGCAACACAATTCCCTGACCTTTGCTGAGTCCCCACAGACATATCCTGACTTTTCTGGTCCAGTGGGACCTTTGACAGTTCCAGGGAGGGCTCTGAGCTTCCTGAGCCAACTCAACATCAAAAGACCACTTAGGAGCTGAGTTACGTGCAGGCATGGCTAAGCCAAGAGCTCCAAAAGTGGTCCTTGCAAAGGACTGTGGGGGAAGTCAGAGACATGCGTTCTCACCATCCAGGTGGTGTTGGAACAGATCTGTCATTTTGTGTTTAGTTCATCAGTACAAGTCACATCACCAGTCTTGGGGAAGATGTCCTGCAGCGGCACTGACTGGTACACCCGAGGCTCTTCCATTTGTACATCTGGAGACTGCCACCTTTGCGGGGCAATGTGATACTCCCCTTTGGAGCCAGAGTCAATGCCCTGCTGGGATGCATCTGGTGTTTCTCCAGCTCACAGTGCTGGTAACACGGCACATAAGAACTTACTGAGTTTAGAATTAGTAGAGGACAAGACAATGACAAAAACAAGGCTACCCCCCCCCCCAAAAAACCCCCCAAACACACTGAGCATCTAGAGTTCAAA